TCGGCCCTCTGGATTAGAAGAGGATTACTCTTTGTAATATTAAATATAATGGACATAGCCATCAACATAAAAAGAAGAATTGCCAAACTTTGTCTACAATCAATTTATTTGTATAATTTATTCGATATGACATCGTTAGTAAGTCCCGATTTCTTTGTACTTCGAAATTCACTCTCGAATGCGTACAATTTATCATACCAAACAAATTTTCAAACTCCAAACCTTGTTATGTTGTTGGAAAGAAAATGAAAATTGATTAGTGTTTAGAAATCTTTGGAATAATGATATTCATCTTCGCTCATATAGCAATTAAATGACATTAAATGATAGACTCAATTAAATAAGTCATGTAACTTTGTATTTAAATGAATATATAATTTAATGCCATGTAATTGTCGCATAAACTGAGACTCAACCCCAGTGGATATGAATAGCATTAATTCATCAACATAGTGAAAATGCTTTGCTCATGTAGGAGAGTTCGGTAATGGAGGACGTAGATCATTGTTTTTGATCGAACCTCCATAATTATATCGTTTCCATCGTCTCCCTCTCTCTTACTTATTGCACTTACTATTTGGATTTATCTATTTGGTTCATACTTACTTGTATTTATATTAATTTTACGAAAAAGTTTTAAATAACCAATTCACCCCCTCTTGATTAGCCATTTTTGGACCTTCAATTTTTATTTTGGTTCCCAATCTTGTTAATTGCGCTTATCTAATATTTTATTTTTAAATTCAAATAAACAAAATGGGATTCTTACTATTTCATTATTATTCGGAAAGACATAAACTTGTTATTTTCCTTCTTCACCGTCATTGTGAGATGTCACAAAGCTCACATGCACAAATTAAAGAGGTCACAATTGATAGATACATTTCATTTTTACGTCACACATATAATCGAGCCATAGTTTTATATGAAACATGAATACAATCACATTAATACATAGGTCACAATTTTACATGTCACATAGGTCATAATTGACTCAATTTTGTGAACAATATAAACAATATGAGAATTTCATTATGTAAAATCTCTGGTCATATATTAACTTTATTACATGCTTAAATATTGATGTTATATATAACTCATAGTAGAATTTCATAATATTTACAAGTAAAAACACGTATACAATCACAAAATTGTTGTCACATATTATTAAGGGCGTGTTCGGTAGAAATTAAAATTGAATTAAAATTAAAAAATTAGCCGTTATTGTTGACTTTTATTAGACGAGTGAGATCCAATAACGGTTATATTTTCAATTTTAATTGAATTTTAAGTTTAGCCAAACATGCTCTAAATGATATAATATCTCTACGAATTTCAAACACCTTCCTACTACGACACGCAAGATGGTCGTTGTGATAGAAAGACGTGGACGAATTACGAATTCAATCATGCTACATGTACAATGGTAGTTGACAATATTTGTTGACAATCATGACTTGTCATCATCACATTCACTCATTTCAAAAAATTTCAAAAACTGTTTTTAAATCGATTGTCTAGATTTTGCCACATCTAACATTGTCAACAAACTTTATTAACCATCATTGTACAAGTAGATTAATTCTTACGAATTATGGAGCCACAATTTATTCTCTCCTTATTCTAAGAGAATTTAAAATGGGAGAGATGGTAAGTGCAAACAGATTTTTAGGGAAGGAATTTCTCATGGGAGAGAAGAGACAAAAATTAATGTCCTTTAATAATAATCAATTCAAGTCACGTCACGTTTTCATATAAAAAATCTTGAATTATGAAAAGTTTTTCAAACTTTTATATTTTTGAAAATATAATCTTAAAATATTGTACTTTGCAATTTTTTCTGTGTAAATTATGTTTTATATAGTTTCAAAGAGTACAAGAACGGGGTAGGGTTATTAATCACTTGATTAAGACAGGAGAGTGAAATTTAATTAATCTTAAATTGCTACAAAAATAGAGCAAAACGTCAAAAAAATAAAAAATAAATAGAGAGGGTGAACATTTGCTTTGTTTACCAACTCAATTCTGTTGTCTTTTAAAGGTCGTCCTTCAAAATAAAATTTTGATATCAGGTCCCAACTGATTTTACTATAGAGGTCGACGATAGATAATAACTCCTCCCATAAGACCATTTCCAATATTATTCTTTAAAATAAAGAACATATTTTGAAATATATTCTTTAAAATCTTTTAAAAATAAAGAATGGGTAGTCAAATAACAATTTTTATATTTTGTTACTCTTTATTTTGCTAATTGTCATAAATAATTATTATCAACCTTTTTTTCTTCATTTTTTTAGTCCCTTCAAATAAGTGTATTGTTGGATAATTTCAACATATATGGGGCCACACGTTGTATATTGAAATGTGTGGTACTATTGTTTAAAGGATATTAGTCACGTAAAATGATTAGATAAAGATGTATTGTAACTAATGGGTAGTAGAATTCATGGAATTATAGTGTAGANGTTATTTTTTCGAATTTCAACATGGTGATGCATCTATGAATTATTATTGAGAATTAACGATTTGATTATTGTTTTGATCTATAATCCTATTATGTTTTTCTATCATGTATAGTAAGTTGTGTAATCTCATGTGAGAGCATTAACAAAAATATATAGAGAGCGAATTTGGTTTTTGACATTTGGATAGTCGAATCCACATCCTCATTAAATTTAAATAGATAGAGTTTGTAGGACTATATAGAATGACGATTTGATTCTCTAAAATAAAATTAAAAACTTTTTAATACAATTTTAAGGTATCATAATTTTGGAAGAAACTCTTAAAAAGGTGTAGTGGAATTTTAGCTTTTTTCAATAATGCTATATGGAATATCTGATAAATGATGGTGAACCTCAATATTAACATGCAATAATCATATCTGCCCATTAAAATCTAGGGTCCACCTCAATGAATAATTAACCAATTTATCATCTACCATGGGTGATAATCATCACTAACGATGAGTAGCACAACCGTACTCTTTTAGGCACCATGTAGTTAGTGGGATTTATTTTTACTTAGATCCTGTTTAATTTACGTTCTTCTCAAAATTTATTTTTTCAAAACTCAATTTCAACTTCATATTTTTCAATAAAATAATATTACATACAAATTCAAAACTTTTCTTTACAATCTATTTGTTTTCCATTTTCTCTCCATTTTTAGAAAAAAATTACCATTGCAGAGCCCCACTTGCCGGAATTATTGACTTCTATATCACATTATTCTTGATGTTGGTGATCCACCGATCACAAAATTCATTTTCTACAGCTAAAAAATGGACAGCAAACAGATGCTTATTTTTAAGCCTCTCATTTTCCATCACATCACATCACATCATAAAATGCATTCTTTTCTAAAAAATGTGCATCAAACACCCCCTTAGACGAGCTAAGTAGCAGTTGATCTCTCAAACTTGTAGTAACGTGTTAAAATTCTAATGAATAATGCTATTTACTTCATTAGAGAGATTATCGTCATATGATGTCATTAAGCATTTGTTTGACTTGGTTAAAAAATTAGATTTTCAGTGGATTTTGATAGAATATGATGCAATGAGTGATTGAAAAATTGATAAAAACTTGTGAATATCATGAAATATATATTGAAAATGAGTTAAAAAATGAATTTTGAAAAAATATGGGACAATCAAAAGCTAAATGATAAGATTAAAGCTAGTGTCATGTTCATATATTTAACTGACTTATTTCATGATACACTTCTCACATTTCTGATCATCATTATCCAACATATCTGGTTTCGTCCAATAGATATTTGCCACTTTTCATGGCCAATTTTTGGAATAATAAATCATAGGAGTTTGTTTGATAGGGACTTTGCTTTTGTTTCTGGTATTGAAGAGTTTTCCCGAGAAAATTATGTTTTGTCATTTTTCTTTAAAAATTCTTTTGATCGGACAAATACTTTTCTTTCCAAAATTAACTTTTTAAAGTACATTCACTAAAGTAAAAAACTAATTTTAACAACATATTTTAATGTGATACACGATTTTTTAACATTAAATTCTATAAACTTTTATCGTAATTTATTAAACTCATGTTTGTCTATTATTATTCAATGAAAATGAGTTTTGGAATACTGAGTTTTTTTGAGAATGTGTGGTTAAAAATTAGAAAAAAATGTAAATTTATTTGCAAAATATTTTATTATGAAAATATGTGATTGAAAATAAATTTTAAAATATATATTTGTTTTTTTAAATAATGGCCGACAAACAAGAACTTAAATTCAATGACATATAGAACCTATTTGAACCTTATTATTATTTTTATTTTTTTGACAAAAACATATTTTGAAACAATGATTTGATAAAAAAATATATGGTTAAAAAATAAGGAAAAATTTTAAATTTGCGTGTAATATTATTTTATTGAAAAATGTATTATTGAAAATAAGATAGAGAATATATTTTGAAAATATTGAGTATCAAACAGGACATAGTCCCTATTTGGGCTACATTAAAAATGGATTTTGATTAAAAAAAGTTTAGAAATAATGATTTTTTTAAGAATGTAAATTAAAAAGTAAGGACAAATTTTAAATTTATGTGTAATATAAATTTATTAGAAAATGTGTAATTTAAAAAAAAAAAAAAGTATTTTCACAAGAATGGTGGCCAACAGGACAGTGCAGATTTAAAACGTGAAGAGATGCCCCGCGCCCCCGAAGAATACTGTTTCAATTTGAACATTTCAACTCATTTGGACTCGGTTTCCCAACTCAACTCAGATTCCCAATCCAACTTTCTCCTTCACTGTCACCGACTCACCCTCCATGATTTCTTAAAAGTCAAGCAAGAATATAACCCATCACCTTTCCCCTACCACCCATTTTCTTTATTCTGCTACACACTTTCTCTTTCTTTTTCTATGGCCTTCACAACCCAGAAATTGCGTGTGCCTTGTATTGTATTTTGATAATTTCAAGCTTAAGAATTGTTCATATTGTACTGATTTTATGTTCACAGAGATATGGCGACAACCCAACTTCGTACCAACAAAAATGAATACCTGGCTAATTCCGATGACACTGAAATTGGATTTTTACAGCCTTTTGACGATGCGGGCGACCCACCCAACCCTTTTGGCGAGTTGGGTCTGGACCTATCCCAGTCGGAACTCCGGGAGACAGCCTACGAGGTCCTAATCGGAGCCTGCCGGAGCTCTGGAGCCGGCAGACCCCTCACTTACATCTCCAATTCTGAAAGGACCACCGAGAGGTCACAGTCGATGACGTCGTCGTCTTCCCCATCGCTTCAGAGGTCGCTGACGTCATCTGCGACGAGCAAGGTCAAGAAGGCTCTGGGGCTGAAATCCTCGTCGAAGAAGAAGAACGAGGATGATTCCGAGTCAGCGAGTCAGGTTATCGGTAACTCAGTTAGGAAGAGAGCAGGGACTGTTGGTGAACTGATGAGGGTCCAGATGAGGGTTCCGGAGCAAATCGATTCCCGAGTCCGACGAGGCTTACTCAGAGTCGCCGCCGGCCAGGTTACAATTGGAACTTCACATTTGATTGCTTGGAAATTTGTTTAATTATACTTAATTAATTCGACGCTGTAATTTAATTGCTACTTCGTTTTATTAAGTGCATGAGAGAATTTCTCACTTTAATTGGGGCTATAGAAATTTTTTACCGTGTTAAGTGGAAATTACTAATTTCTGATCAGGTGATCATAAAAAGGCATATGTTTTCTGGGGGAAAAGGAGGAACTGGAGGGAAATATAATTTACCAACTGGTTACTTCCATTGCAATTTTGAATTAGTGTGGGTAATTCTTTTCGAATTGGAAGATTCCTCAATCAATTTTTCTGGTTTCTGCTTAAGGGAACTTTTATAATTTAGTTCTAATTTTCAGCTGATTTATGAGGATTATTGTTTTTTTTTTCCAACTCAAAACTTGATAAATGGCTAATGGGAAGAAATTCGATTTGAATTCAGAAAGGGTTAAAAAAAAAAAAAGGCAATACTGAATCATCTAATTTTGCATGTTTTCTCTGATCCGTACAGAAAACATAGCTGCATGGAAATTGTAATTACACAAATTTTTAACTAAATTTTGCATGTTTTCGCTGAACCGTACAGAACACATAGCTGCATGGAAATTGTAATTACACAAATTTTTAACTAACTTTTGGCCATACGCTTGTGACAATGAGATTTCAAAAGATTGATTTTTTTTTTTTCAACACAGGATTGCATTTCTTTTTCATTTGAATTACAATAAAACTGTGAGGAAACAAGTTTAGTAAATCATTCAGCCACCACTTCGTTTCTTCTGTTCTTTTGTATACTTATGCGCTAAGATTGACCGTTTTATCATATTGCATATGTATGATCCGATGTGATAACGTTTCAAGAGTTTTAAGGTATGCGAGATTGATCAGCATAGATTTTCAGTGTGTATGATTGCCTTTTCGTTGCAATATGTTAATAATTTAGCTTCTTGTCCTGTTTTTCACTTATCAGCTCGGAAGACGTATTGAGTCTACAGTTTTGCCATTAGAGCTACTACAACAGTTCAGATCCTCAGATTTTCCTAGCCAGCGAGAATATGAAACATGGCAGAGGAGAATCTTGAAAATACTCGAAGCTGGACTCCTTTTGCATCCACACATGCCTCTTGCAAAGACAGAAATGGCCTCCCAACAGCTTCAGAAGATCTTATGTGGAGCCGCTGATATACCAATAGAAACGGGGAAGCATAGTAAATCAATGGAACTTCTACGCAATGCTGTAATGTCACTTGCTTGCAGATCATTTGATGGTTCTGTGTCAGATATATGCCACTGGGCAGATGGAATACCACTGAATCTCCACATTTACTACATACTTTTAGAATCTTGCTTTGATGTAAACGACGAAACATCTGTTATTGAAGAAGTCGATGAGATATTAGAACTTTTAAAGAAGACTTGGGTAATCCTTGGGATAAACCAGATATTACATAATCTTTGTTTCTTTTGGGTCTTATTTTGTCGATATATTAAAACCAGCCTACTTGAAGATGACCTCCTTCTTGCTTCTGTTAATATGCTGATGGAAGTGGAAAAGGATGCAAAAGCGACAATGGATCCAGCGTACTCAAAGATTTTAAGTTCAACATTGAGTTACATTTTGGGGTGGGCAGAAAAAAGGCTTCTTTCATACCATGCTACCTTTTATCGGGGCAATATTGATATAATGCAAAGTATTTTATCTCTTGGGGCATCATCAGCCAAAATATTGGCAGAAGACCTCTCTCACGAGCATCGAAGGAAAAGGAGAGAAGTTGATGTAGCATATGGCCGGGTTGACACTTACATCAGGTCATCAATGAAGAATGCTTTTTCTCAGGCAAGTAAAATGAAAAATTTTCTGACAAGTTTAAGCCAACTCTTGTTGATACTTGATAACAGTTCCCTAACCTTCTTCTCCACTTTGAAAGAGCCGTTGATTTTACTTTACCAAGCTAATCTATCTTCTCTGTATAATAGTTTGATGCTTCTATTCCATTTCTATTCTGATTGCTTGTGGATTTGCAATTATTTCAGAGCCCTGATTTAGTTTCTATTATTATCGAAAATTTTAATTAAGGCCGTGGATAAAAGTAAAAATTTTCTGATGCACGTGCATCTTTCTTTTCTGATCATCCATACTCTTTTTACATATGAATGTGATTCAAGCTCCTGTCTGCTATTATGAAGACAGGAAAAGGATAGTGTCATCTCAAGCAGGCAGTCTACTAAATATCAGCAAAATCCTCTTCATGTTCTTTCCATCCTTGCACAAAACATTTGTGATCTGGCCTTCAATGAGAAGGAAATATATAGTCCTGCGTTGAAACAGTGGCACCCTCTTGCGACGGGTGTAGCTGTTGTTACTCTTCATACTTGCTATGGAAATGAGCTTAAGCAATTTATTACGGGTATAAGCGAATTAACTCCTGAAGCTATACAAGTGTTGCTATCTGCTGAAAAACTTGAAAAGGATCTTGTAGAAATGGCTGTTGCCGATTCAGTAGACAGTGAAGATGGTGGGAAGGCAATAATTCAGGAGATGAACCCATATGAAACTGAAACTGTGATTGCAAACCTGGTGAAATCCTGGATACGTACAAGATTAGACAGACTCAAACAGTGGATTGACAGAACTCTGCAACAAGAGGTCTTTTTCCTTCTCCTTTTGTTCCTTCAATTAGCTTTTCAATTGACTAAGCCTCCATTTGTGAAAATTATAAAAGGTTTAATTTATAAATAGATAAAAGCGAGTGGTGAATAAGTGGATAGTACTTGTGGGTCCATTGGATGTGTGATTGAAAATGAAATTACACAATTTATAAATGCTTTATGGGTTTTGCCAAACAGAGGCTATACCCAGTTGAAATATAGAATAAATTTCCAAGAGTTAGTTCTTGTCATATGTAGTTTGGAGTGTGCAAAAAAAATATTTTTTGGAATGGAAAGCATATTGGTACTGTGGCAATCTATATGGCCTTACTAAAACTGTCATGATACCTTGCACTTTCTTTTTTTCCACCTACTCGACATTGATGCAAGGATATACATAGAAGGGGAGAGAAATTTCTAATTTGTATATTACAAAATGATAACTTTTCATGTTTTCTTACTATTTTGATTAGTAAATGCACCCGTTGCTTTTGATGTCTATAGATGGAGTTATCCTTTCTGGGTAGTACTGGGTTCCATCCCCGTTTTCTTTGTGATTAAATTACATTGTGTGTTCTGTCTATTGGTATAATGATCTAATTTATATCTTTATATTCTGGAAAATATTGGTTTCTCAAATTCATACTTGTGCAATATAATGGTGCCCCTTTCCTGTATTCTTTGTTCTGTTAAAATTTCATTAAAGCCGAATTTGTTTATATTTAGCTGCCATCTAGAACTGGTAATGTTATTTTTTTGCCCCTGATAAGTTTTGTTAACAACTTGTTATAGGTTTGGGACACTCGATCAAATACAGGGCACTTTGCTCCCTCTGCAGTGGAAGTTCTACGTATCATAGATGAGACTTTGGAAGCATTCTTTTTGTTACCAATACCAATGCATCCAGTTTTGCTTCCTGAGTTGGTCAGCGGTCTCGACAATTGCCTTCATAGCTACATCATCAAGGCAAAATCTGGCTGTGGTAAGTATTGAATTCAAGATAGCTGTCCAATTGGCTTGTATTTTGCTCAAACTATTAATTGCTATTTTTTTTTCCCTCTGAAGGATCTCGCAGTACCTTTATTCCAAACTTGCCTGCTTTGTCCCGATGTACTACTGGTTCTAAATTATTTAAGAAGAAAGACAGTTCATATATGGGTTCACTGAAGAAATCTCAGGTCAGGACTACATCTGGGGATGGCTCCTTTACTATAGCACAACTCTGTGTTCGCATCAATACCTTGTATAACATCCGAAAAGAGTTGGATGTTCTCGAAAAGAGGGCGATTTCCAATCTGAGGAATAGTGGATTTGTTCATGATGATAATGCTGGGAATGGAAAATTTGAGGTTTCAGTATCTGGCTGCATTGAAGGGATACAACAAATATCTGAGGCAACTGCATATAAGGTCGTATTTCATGATCTGAGTCATGTTCTTTGCGACTACCTATATATTGGAGAGACTACATCATCCAGGATTGAACCTTTTCTTCAGGAGCTGGAGCAATATTTAGAAACAGTGTCAGTAACAGTTCATGACAGGGTTCGGACTCGGGTAATAACTGAAATTATGAAAGCTTCTTTTGAAGGGTTTTTGTTGGTTATTCTTGCTGGAGGACCATCTCGTGCCTTTACTCTGCAAGATGCTGAATTGATAGAGGAAGATTTTAAGTTTCTTATGGATCTGTTCTGGTCCAATGGAGATGGTTTGCCAGCAGATGTGATCGATAAGTTCTCTGTTACTGTAAGAGGCATTCTTCCACTTTTTCACACACATACTGAGAACATTATCCAGCAATTCAAAACCATATTTCTAAATAACTATGGAGCTTCAGCCAAATCAAGGCTTCCATTGCCTTCAATGTCAGGTCAATGGAGTACAACTGACCCGTATACAATTTTGCGTGTTTTGTGTAATCGGAATGATAAGATGGCAACGAAGTTTCTGAGGAAGACCTATAATTTACCAAAGAAGCTATAACGAAGAACTGTACAGGGCTCTTTTTCTCCGAAACCTTTGCCTGAGAACTGTTATATCGATGTGACACAGAATAGTGGACCGTGCATGGCTGGAGCTCAACCCTTGCCATTAGCACTGATTATACTTCGACACTGCAAAGAAAGTTCTATATTATTCTGTTAATTTATTTATTTTTTGACTCTTTCATGAAATTAGAAAGGCCTAACTAGTTTTTGTAGCTTTATATACGTGTGTAGTTTTTGCCATAGCTTGTATATGTTCCTTTGCAGTAGTAGTGAATTGCATTAACAAACTCTTCATCTTTTTCTCATTAATGGAAATAATAGATTTCAGTGTTTATCTGAATCCCTGTTTCTCTATCTCAAATTGTGCATTAGTTTTGCTTTTAAGTGAGACTGTGTTCCGTTAGGGGTGGCTTTTAAGATGCCAAAATGAGCTTTTAAAATCCAAAAGTTGCTTTTGAACTCTTTTGATTAATTTTCTACGAAGGGTTTCTTTTAGTTAGAAGAGTTTTTTGAGGATGTTTGTTCATTTTTGTAAAAAATACTCTTGAAATAGGAAACTTTTTAGAAATTCTTCTATAGAAAGTAAAAGATAGGCCAAATGAGTCCTACAGCAATGATAGTTGTCGTCACTTGATGAATAGTGTTATCAAGCTCTAAAATGCTATTTATAATTTTTTAATGTTAAATTGTCAGTCAAAATGTAATACGCATATATTAAACAAACAAAAAGCTAAACAAAAAGGGTCAATGACGGGGGCATTTTCCAGGGAGTGAAGTGGCAGTTTTTGATTGGCAATGTTTTCTTTAATTTTTATTTAACTGCTAATGAGAAAATGCCAAGTGTATGTGTGTATTTTTTCCTGTCACTTACCATATCCCTACAGCATTTCTCAAAAAAGGGTAAATTCCTCCAGGGATCGACAATATTTTGCAATTGCGACAGATATGTCCTAAACCTTCCATTCTTGGCGTCCATCTCTCTAATATTTTGACACTAGGTGAGTGGTAATTGCACTTGACGAAAAATGTTTATTTAGACATTAATATCCACGTGACATGTACATAATGCGTTACTTAAAAGGAAAAATTGTCCAAAAAAAGATATCTTTTACCAGATGTGATTATTTCACTTGCATTTAATGTTGCTCTTTTAAACAACTTTACACTTTCAATCAGATATCACATGCATGTCGTGTGGCCTTTCATTGTCTAAATAGACGTTTTATGTTAGATGTGATACCGGTTGCATAGTGGTAAAAGTTTGGGGCATGGGGTGTCCCAAATGAAGAGTCGAAGACAGGACTCCTACACTCGGTGACCCTCGTATTAATCTACACTTTGAGAAAGGTTCAACCTTTTTATTTGTATTGCGCACTCCATCTATAGAACAAATTAATTTGTATAACTTCATAATCATGTGCCTAGTTCAACTACATCATCGCGTAACTCAAATTAATTTGCACTGAGGATCAAGCTCAAAGCCCTATTATAAATTGCCCCGTAGAGCTAAGAAATGTGTATAAACGAACTTGGAAGATGGAGTACGAAATATTATGTATCTAAAAATGTGCAAGTGAAAATTTGTAGAGATCATGATTATTTTTTAACCTACGTTTGGTACAACGTATTGGTATAGAAGATACAGGATTATTGAAGATAAGATTAGGGAATGTAAGATTAAGATAAATATGAGCGTAGTTATAATACAATATTTGGTGCTATATGCCCTACACGTTGTACAATAACATGTAATTTTTTTTCCTAGAAAAAAAAGAAAGAAAATTTACAACACACACCCTACATTTAGGATGTATTTATAATTCATATACTATATTCTGTAAATTTACATTTTGCAAAAATTGTGTTTTAGTTATGGATAAAAAATACACATTTTACGTGAAAAATTAAAAATACTTCTGTTATATAATTTAATATATAGGGTGTAATTTATTATTTTCAATTAAAAGTATATTGGTCTCTTTAGATAATTAATGATAAATTTGTAAACAGTTATATTTTTTCCAGCAATATTTATTTATTTTGTTGTTACCAATAACTAAAACACAATATGTAAAATGTAAAATTCAAAATACGGTATGAAAATCATAAATGCACCCTAAATGCAGGGTGTATTTTG